CAGACATGATATCCTGTCCAAACACTACTAGTACAAATCTTTCTTCTCACTGAATTAAGAGAAAGTAGCTGTATATCTATCCTATTTTGAATACATCACTACAGAATGATCCTTCATTTATATCCCCCTTTTTTGCTTAGTTTTGTCAGAGATCGGTATTCCATTGTCAGTATTCCATTGCCATTCAAATATTGTAGGTGCATGAATTCAGCAAAACAATCCAATATAGTCTGTAGACCATAATAGTAGTGGGTTATCCACAGGACTGCCAATGTCATAAACTGTCCATTTGAGCCTTTTACAGCTTAGCATATTAGTATGGCTTTACGTTTTATACCTCATGGTTATACTCTTATGCTGGATGGTTAAGATCAAGATAAAGCAAGAGCTATGTAACAAAAAATATGACTTTTGTGTCTGACAAGGTTTGTCAAATCCCCTCAGGATTTACCCTGAAAGCATGTACAGAAGTTTGTAGATACTTTGTCAGTGTCAGCCATGTAGATGAGTCATGGCCATTGCTTGACCATTTTGTTCTCTGTGAAAGCCTGAAAGAGTGTTTGTTCTCTAGGTGACACTCCTAAGGCACACTCCACATCATCTATCACTTTCCTCTGTGGCCCTATAATCTCCTTGATCAGCAAATTTGGGACAAAGCTGAGTTCTATTTTTATTTGTTCTATTGAACTTTTACATTACGGAGAGTGTGATATTTACACATTGGTCTGGTTTATATCACTTATGAGTATATCTTTAAGTTGCATCAACGTATATATGAAGGCTTGGAGTTGGTCATTCTTTATAGTTGAATAATACTCTATTGTATAAAAGCATAACAACTTTTTAAAATTTTATTGAGAAATATCAATGAGACAGTTTCAAAACCAATTAATAAGACAATTTCAATAATTAATACATTTCATATTATTTCTTCATAGTAGTTATCCATAGTACAAGATGCAGACATGATATCCTGTCCAAACACTACTAGTACAAATCTTTCTTCTCACTGAATTAAGAGAAAGTAGCTGTATATCTATCCTATTTTGAATACACAGATACAAAATGCTCCTTAACTTATATCCCCCTTTTTGTTTAGTTTTGTCAGACATGGGTATTCCATTGTCATTTAAATATTGTAGGTGCATGGATTCAGCAAAATAATCCAATATGGTCCAGTAGTCCATAATAGTAGTGGGTTTTTCACAGGACTGGCAATGTCAGAAGTTGTTGACTTGAGTCCTTTACAGCTTGGCATATGAATATAGCTTCATTTTTCACACCTTGTTATTATACTTTTCTGCTGGATGGTTAAGACCAAGATAAAGCAAGACCTATATAACAAGAATATAACTTTTGTATCTGACGAGGTCTGTCAAATTCCCTAAGGATTCACCCTGAAACCCTGTATCACAGTTTGTAGATCCTTTGTCAATGTCAGTCATGTGGATGAGTCATGGCTATTGCTTGACCAATTTGCTCTGTTAATACCTGACTTATATTTTTGGGATAAGGGTGTGTTAAGATCTCCTATTAAGATTGTGGTATTGGATATTAGATTCTTCATGTCAATTAAGGTTTGTCTTACATAGTTGGGTGCTCCCATGATTGGTGCGTACACATTTGTAATTCTTACTTCTTCTTCTTGAATTTTTCCCCTAACCAGTGTGTCAAGAGGTTCTTTATTTCATTTGATCATTCTTGGTTTGAAGTTGAGACTGTGTGAACAGGATTGCCACCCCTGCTATTTTCTGAGATTCTGGGCCATGTAGTATCTTTTCCATCCTTTGACATTCAGCCTATAAGTTTCTTTATGAGTTAAATGTCTTTCTTTATACAGCATATTGTTGGATTTTACTTCCTGTTCCATTGTGCCAGTCTAATACTTTTAATTGGTGAACTGAGTCCATTTATATTGATGATTATAATTGAAATATATTGACCTATGATTGACATGTTATTTACTTGCTGTTGCCAAATCCTTCTCATTCATGGAGTTCCAGTCATTTTAGTTCCTCTCTAGAACATCTTTTAGTAGTCTGTGTAGGGTTGGCTTTCTCATCATGAAATTCTTAGTTGTTCTTTGTCATGCAAGTATTTCACTTTTCCATATAACTTGGAAGAGAGTTTTTCAAGGTGTAGTAGTCTGGGCTGGAATTTGTTTTCATAGAGGACTTGACGTACTCTTGTCTTAGTTACTTTTTACTTGTTGCTGGGACAAATACCTGACACTCAAAATGAAGGAAGGAAAAGTTTATTTAGCTCACGGTTACTGGAGGGTTCAGTCCATATTCTGCTGGCTCCAAGGCAAACAGCAGTTCATGCAGCAGAAAACAATGAAGAGTAGTGAAGACTCAAGCTCCTCCAAAGTGGCACGGCCACAAAGATCAAGCTCCTTTGAAGACTGGGACTACTCCACGGAAGTGGAGAGGGATGGCAGGAAACCAGGCAAGGTGGCTTCCTGACTTTCTCAATTCCTGGGCCCTGCCCACCTTCAGGGCTAGGCCCCCATGCTGAGATCTGCCAGAGCTGATTCAGCCAACTTGACACAATGTATCAACTTGTATCAACTAACACAATCCACCCCTTGTCAACTTGGCAACTAGACATACTTTTTAAACCAATTTCCAGGTACACAGACATGATTAAACATATTACAAATTGAAACTTGCATTATGTTAGAACCATGACATGTTTCCCCTGGCCCTCCAAAGACTCATGCACAACTGTTTATGCAAAAGACATTTTATTTTTATTTTTTTTCTCAACAAATAATACACTGCATATATTCTTCTTAGTGGTTAATTGCTGTACAAGATGCGGACTTGTGATCCTATTTACAAACTCCAT